TATTAATAGGGTAAATAATTGTTTGATTATAGTTCATATAACACTCCTCTATTATAATTTTATAAATCACAGAAACTAACGCATAAACAAAACAAGTCTCTTAAATTGAAAAAGACAATAGGAGTAAAAAAAAAAAAGAGTTGCATTATGATCTTATAATGCATTTTGGCATTTTCTAGGGCTGTTTTAACATAAATAGCATAGATCCTTAAATGAATGATTTGTAAGAATCTGTTGATTAGTAATTCCATGGTATTCCTGGTTGGAAATAGAAACTCCAATATGAAGTGAACAATAAGTAAATCAATTCTACTCTGGATCAATGCTATAGCATCTATCAATTATTTAAACAATTGTCATCTGAGGGTTTGTTATAGTTAATTACAGATCTGATCAAAATGTCATATAATCAGATTATAGCGTATCAAGTTTTCTGTAATATTTTTAATTTCCTTATTGTTTCATAAGATTGTTTCAGTAACTAACACATTCCTCGTTGTAATTGTGAGTGTTTGTCATTGTTTATATCAAAATGTTTTGGTCCCTGAAAGAATTTGTTGTTGGGTGTCTTGGGTTGTGTCTGTTGAATTTTATCATGGCGAGTTACAGCTTTATAATTGGTTTGGACATATTTATTTTAACCATTGTTTAGGGTTGTTTTGTTTTGTTTTGTTTTTTGAAGGGGAGGCTGTATAGTTGCTGAAAATGTCCATTAGGTTCTATCTAAATCCTAAGAAAAATAAGATTTAATAGGTAACTTAAAAATGCATGGATTTGTAGAAAAATATACATTTTAAAAGAATAGTTGGGGCTATAATCCAGATAAATACTTGTTTTGTAAGTTATAACTTTGGTGTTGATGGATTTGATAATACAGCCTTCAGCTAAAGGCTCATGTTTTGCGATGCTCTCCATTAGTGATATGCAAAATAAACTGTCATTCATCACATTTATACCTGTTGCAAATAGAGTTACTACAGTACTTGTCTAAGGCTCTGATGGACCTCTGCTTGTAGTACTTGAAAGTTTTAACAAATGAAAGTTTTAACAAATGATACTATTACATGGCAATTATGAATTTAGATATGATTAGGCTGCCTTGACTGGTAAAATGCTTGCCTCCAATGTAGGAGGTTGTGGGTTCAATTCTTGCCCAGGTCAAACAAAGGACTATAAATTTGTATCTGCTGCCTCTAAAAAGCACAAATCTTAAAAAGCAGACATGTTGGCTCACATTGCATGTCTTTCTATAGACTGTTACTTCAGCTCTTGAGTAAAAATTCAATCAAGTTTCCTCATATCACATTAATATGACTGCAAGGAATAATTGCCTCTGGACCTTTGTGACCACCATGAGATATGCAAGTCCTATGGACAGTTGTATTGATATTATGGTAGAGTGTTCACTTTGAGTAGGGGAGGTCAAAGTTTGAGTAACAGCAAAGATTCAGATGGCTACAGAGTCGTGCTATGTGTCTTTGACATATCATGTCTTCCTGTAGACTGTTACCATAGGAGCAATCTTGCTTTAAGCAAGGAGGTCTTGTACATAGAAGGTGTCATATTTGTATTATATTAACATGGTATTGTCCTGAACATGGCATGTAATATTTAAGAAATAGTCTACGGTTGCCATCAAATATTTAGATTCTAATAGGAAAAATACAGTAATTTTGTCAACCATGAAAGCCCTATGCACATGATACTGTTTTGGCTATTCCATTTTATCCGAAAGTATTATAATAAAAAATATTATCTTATTCAATAATGAATTAAAAAACTCACATTTTTCACCTAAAATTGTTCTTTTTATCCAATTTAATAACATTCTGAGGCATACAAGAAGGCCGAAAATGGTCGGTGTTTACATTTGACGCCGGAAGCATACATATGACGTCACCATGTTTAATTGCCAAAGACGATAACATCATTTCACAGAATTTTTCGTTTTATGAAATATGACACTGAAATTGAATGATTTGTTTATTTTGCATTAGAATAGAGATAACAATATTGTATTTGAAGCTTGGCCTACTTAAAACGTGGGTTTTTTACTCTCACAAATTGAGTTTACCATGTCATATAAATAACGTAGGTGGAACAGCCAATTTTTTGTATTACTGCGTTTGAGCTAAAAGTAGATATACTGTGATTATACTGGTTGACAATATTTAGGTCGTCATGTTAGAATTACTGTTTAGAAATTAAGCAGTTATTATCAATAAACCAACCTACTTTTTAATTTAAAGCACTTTTTAATCATATAATTCTGGAATGTTTTAAAATAGATAATTTGGAATGTTTGTACCCATTGCATTTTCTGACAATTAAAACAAATGCATTATCCTTAAGAGACCCTTTTCTTATTTAACTTCTGTCAGGTCAATGTTTCATTTTTATACCACAATCATCAGTTGTTGATTTAAATGCTAGTATCACAAAATATTCCCCATTAACATGAGTTCTCCTTTCTAAGATAATAATTTTGTCCCATGAGATGTGCCATTACAGAGACAATTACAAGGATTGTCTCCCTTCATACAACAATCTTATTTACCAGATCCCAACTCTGTCATTTATATCAGATATTGACAGAATAATTATGTCCGATACCCCGTTTATTTGTTAATCAATACTCCAGCTTATTAGGCGTTATTGTTTGCACTGGAGTCCTCATTTAGTGAGATGAGTAATTCACTATCATGAATTAGATCCCATCAAGAGATAACATTTAGCTTGTAAATCAGAACAATATTTTCTATTCATATGTATCAATTAAGAATTATTTCAGCTTCCATTTCGTTATTTTTCATAGTAAAATGAATTTGATATTGTTTTTTTATTGTATCAATTTATATAAATCGCTGCAACAATGCACCTTGTGAAACAAAGACGATATTGACACAGAGGGCTGATTATAGCAAATCAATTTCAGATAACAGCATCAGAAAGGAACAAACAATTAAATAGAAAGCTAACTCATGCTTCCTATTGTAACCAAGGATGGATTATTACATTGTCAACTTGTTTACATTAATAGGGTGAAATCTATTTTCTATTGATTAGAGGAAAGAATCGCTTGTTTTTAAATATCGATAAAGATGTTGATTAGGACAATCACATTGTTACTATGTCAGCAAACAACGCTATCTGATTTTTAGTTCAGGTTTGAAAAGGAAATGAATCAAGACAAAAGAAGAAAAAAAAATACAATATGGAAATTAATTGGGATATTTCAAGATTTTGTAGAATAAACCTACGCAATTAAACGAAAAGATGCATTGATACTTAATGACCGTGTAATATTGTAATTAATTTTCATTTCAATAATGAAAAGATTAAAATAGGAACACTATTGATATATCTGAACCTTAATTAATATTTAACATTAGTTCTGAAATTGGATAAATATTTTGAAACAAGGGATGGCATAATAAAACGTGTTTGTAACAACATCAGTCGTATATCTGTCGAGACAGAACCAAGTGATTTTGCAGATGTTGTAAAAGCACATGCTACAAATAAGATTTTTATGCACATTATAAAATATCCTTGCATCAAAAATACATTTCAATGAGCCATTGTCCTTTATTTCCAAACATGTATTAAAATTTAGGAGCAAAACAAAGATTTTTATCAGATTTCATATTACGATTCTTTAATCGTTCCAATTTTGAACTGTCCTACAGCTGCATTCAAAAATATTAATTGCACTTTTTACCAGAAGTAAAGTTAAAATCAAACTGTATTTATATATATGTTCCTACCTATGCAGACTGTGCACATATCCAGCTGTATTTTTTTGCAACATCCATGTTTTTTGGTTTAGTAAAGTTATTCAAAATCCAAATAGAATCATTTTATTCTTTGAACAATGAATGGTAGTTCTGCTGAATTTTGATTCTGAGAAAATGATACATCCTGTTTTCCAAGTACTGAAGTTGTCAATTTTTACAAAGTTGCTGAATTTGGTTTTGTCAGCTATGGGGAAAATTATATTTCATTTTGTAAGTACCATATTATATCATCTGAAGATTTTTAAGCTTAAGACATGAATGATTTAGAGGGTTCTTTTTTCATATCAATTTAAAAACATTTTTTTTCCTAGTGTTTTTGTTGGGACCATGCTGCCCTGAGACTTTAGTATTCTATGTAGTGTTTGTCTATTTGTCTTTTTTCTTTAAAGGTGTTTGTCCTTTTTTCGCTTATGTTTAGAAGCTGTCCCTTAAATATCCATTGCTTCATCTCCCATTATTGAATTAGTAAAACAAAGAATACGGCTTTCTGTAGTCTAAACCCTGCCAATTTGAGAATAAAGAATGTGCACCAGTCGCAAATAAAGCAGCAATCAATGTAATGTGTGATCTCTCTCTTATTAGTCAATTAACTTAATAGAATAACGGAAAGACTTGTAATTATTGTTGACCTCTCACAGCTGTCCTACAATACTATGACAGATTTCAAGTATTGATTGTTTGTCATATTTCAGAATAAAATCTATCATTTAAGTGTGTCGCGTATGATAAATTGTCATATATCCTATGTTTTACTTTGATATGGTGTATAGATATCATAAATTTTAAGTTTAAAATCATTTTTCACAATGTATTTTTCCATTCACAAGATTGACAGGTGCAATAAAAGTTCACTTTGTTTTTATTGAATGGTTATTTTAAAATAAATGTTAATAAAATTACTTGAAATTCAATAATTAATTTTGACAGCTTTATTTATGACCAGTTTAGAACCTTTGTGTTCATTGGCATTGTCAAGGAAAAATGTTGAGGTTGTGGTTTTAAAACCTTCCTAGTTTGAACATTTTCCAACTCTGTCCAAACTAAAAATAATCCCTCAGTCATTATAATATGTTATCATAATTGTTTTATCTTAGAACTCAACATCCAATAGACCACAGTTTTAAGACAAGCTTTAGTTTCACTTTTATCAAAAATTAGTATGTGATTGTTTAACAATGGAACCTTTATCTTTTATAATTACAGATTGTCAGTAGAGTAGCAGCCCAGCCTGGATATGACCTTGACCTTGGTTATAGGTTACTTGCAGTATGTGCTGCCCACAGAGAAAAGCTGAGTTCTAAATCTTCAGGTTTGTCTTAGTGTAGTGACACATTTCCTGTTGTACTTTTTCTACCAGATATTATATAAATATGACCTAAAAGATCTTATTCTGAAAGTTTTGGATTATTTTGGTGCTGATTTATCCTTAAATAATTGACTTAATTTATTTTGAATACAGATGCTCACTTTTCAAATTTTCAACTTTTTCCTGATTTTTTGGCTTTTACCAGACTATGTGTTAAAGACTTTTGACCAGCTGAGCTGCTATATTTTAGCAGTGATCAAGTGTTATTTTGAATTGTAGCAGCCAACATCCTGAAATAATTGCACAAGAATTACATTTTTGTAGCAGCAGTTTAAAATGCTGAATATAGTCTCTATCAATATTTTTTTTATCCTCATTTGTAACTTTAAACAATCTTATTGCCATGCATGCTACATTTCATGCAATTAAAAAAAAGTCACAGATGTGTCTTCTGTGAATAAGTAGCTTGTAGTACACATAAAGCCAAAAGTTTGTAAAGCCATGTAATTGTTAAAGACTGGTCCACAATTATTCAGTTGAATGATATCCTGATTTGATTTTCTGGTTTGGATTTTTGAACTCTAAAAAAACCATTCAGATTTAATGACAAAATGTTTCCAAAAAGAGTAACAGTAGATGCTGTTTTCTTTGGAAAATTTTAATCCTGGTTCAAAAGATGTTTAAGTTTCACAATGTTATTAAAATGTTGACTTACAAAGAGTTATCTACCTTAAATTTTATGTACCTCCTCAAAGCTCATCTCTTGTGGATTATATTGATTGGCATTTGACTCAGTCATCTTAATGAACACTCTTCAGCAAATGATTTGGTATATTTGGATACTTTTGCAATTTCTTTAGTAATGTAGTCCTGACCATGCTTGAAATATTTGCCACCAAATGTTAAGCAACCAACAATCAATCAATCATCTTTAGTTATGGTTCCAAATTTTTTAAACTATTTTAACTTGGGTTGGAACGAATTTGAAATAAAAGTTTCTAAGTATTTTATTTGTATTTCATGTTGTCTTAAACTACTTAGGTCAATGATAACATTGTAAGTTCAAAAAAGTTTAACAGACATGATTTATTTAGACAGGTATATAAATACAATAACATTAAATTGTTGTCATGCTACTGGATGATAAAGTACTCTTTTATCAAAGGATCATAATAAATATTATTAAATAACCAAATAAGTATACCTAATACATTGTATTTGTATTTTTAAATTCTTAAGATAAACACATTTAGTGTAGCATCACAAGCTATTGATTTTTATATTGATGCCCTATAGATGATTAATATGAATGTATTGTCCCACTTAGATTATAGTTTCTATTTTCATTAACTGAAAAACTTCATTGAATTAAGTATAGATTTATGTTTACTGAGGCATGGCATTAGATGTTGGGCAGATCACTTTGTCTGCATTTTGTTCTTTATGCCTTAATAATTATGAAAATATTGATATTGATCAAATCATGTATGAATTTTATTAGATTTTCATTTAAAGAGTTATTTCCCATATTTCAATATGACAGTGCTTGCTGTTTTTTACTTCTTATCCATCATCAGGAGTACCCAAAACTGAAAGTTTAAATAGCCAGTACTGGAAATGTATGGAAGTAATAAAAGAAAAGAAAAAAACAGCTAATAGTATACATTAAAAGGATAACAAGAATTAGCAATGTATTGGACAGTTTAACAGACCACACAAACCATCAACACCCAACTCCTCTGACAAAATAAACATACAACCAAGAACAAAAGACAAATGGTGGAATCTTGTGCATTTGAAGTTGTTTTTCCATCCTCTTTCTGACACTAAAAAGTTTATTTCAGATTATATAATAACTTATCAGTGTCTATCATTTACCCGACTGAATAAATATTTAATTTTTTTTATCTGAAAACAATACACTAGATATGCAAAAAATCAGTATAAATCTGATGAAATAAAATATCTTAAGACCATATTAGATGAACATTTGTTTCCCAAAAAAATCGTGATTTTTATTCTATCAGTTTAAATAATTCATAATATGATTATAGATGTACTCAATACATTTATCAATTTTCCTGAGGCCACTTTCTAGACGATTGATCCAATGATTGTATTCTTACATATTCAATAACCAAATAACCATATCATGTTACAGTAATGAACAAAAATGATTGACGTCGGCATAAAATTTAGACTTCCAAGTAGAAAAGTTCATATATATTTTTAAGAATTAAGTTTAAATACTGTTTTCAAGTGTACAATAGGTCATTTAGTTAATTGTTTGTTAAATGACTTTTCAATGTCTTATCTATAACAAAAAGTTTGTACTGATTTTTCTCGGCCAGATATCTATGTGATTGACAAGTCTCTATTGACAAATTATATAGGTAAATTTACCTATAATTGGCAAGAATCAACATGACTTGAAGGTGTCCTCTGTGTTCATAAGTAACCTAATTCTATGCTTACACTTTAGCAACAAGCTGACAACAGTGTGTGTTGATTATTGATTTCCCAACTATAATTCATCTGTGATTGAAATAATTTAACCTTTTAAATGTGCATCATTTTCTTAAATTATGTAATGGTTTGTTATAATAGTGTCTAGCTTCTTTTATTTAATCTTTTGAAAAGTTTCAAATGTATAATTTCACCTCCTCTATAAAAATACATCAAAGTCCATTGTATCAGTTATTTGTGTAAAAGTGGAAATAAAATGCTGCCAGCAAATTAATAAAGAAGTGAACTGTAAAAGCTCAGTTATTCTGTTAAAAGAGTCTTTAATTAAGCTTCTGATAAGTGAATGCTTTTTTTTTTAAATTATAAATCATTACTAAATCGTTTTCATATTTCTAAAATAATGCATTGTAAAAAATTGTTGACTTTAATCATTTTATGATTTTCTGTGTAAGTTGTAAAATTAACTGTTAAAGCAACATAGTCATACTTGCATTTTATTGCTAAAAGAATAACAGCTATAGGCTGTTCGGATAGAACAGCTTAGTTTAACCCTGAGACCTAATACAACCTCTTTTTTTCCTTCTTTTTGTTAAATGAAACAAGTTGTTCTCAAACGTAGTTTCTCACTGTATAGTTTTGATTCCTCATTGTCCTGTAACAGTTCTGATAGGTGAGTATAATCAGTGACTGATTCTCTGCATTGGAAAACAAAGAGTCTCGAACACATGCCAGTAACCATTATTAAAGTTACAAGTTTTAATATTTTGGAGGCAGTCTACAGGGGGGTTCTTTTGCATAGATCATGAAGTGTGTGCAAAAACTCGGTTTTCAAAATGGGTTTTAACCATTTTGTTTTGTAGAGGCATTTCACGTATTGCTGGTTGTACTGGGTAATATGCAGTTTTAAAGTGAAAATCAAAACACAACCTTGGACTTATTAGCCCATTTAAACAATAGTCTTTATAAATAATATACATGAAGGTTATGATTATAGCACAATGTTATAATGTCTGATATCTCCACTAAAACAAAACCAGGCCTTTTAATCTATTTATTCATAAACGAAATTAACAAAAATTAATAGGGAGAGCTTTACCTTATTGTTTTGGTCTTTACCTTATTGTTTTGGGTTTTTTTTGGCAATTTCAGGGACCAAATGATTCACAGCACACTATGCATTGTTTTAATTTTATCAGACTGTTATAACATAGATCTGCAATATCACAGTCTTGTCATTTTTATCCTAGTAAGTTTGTTGTCTTATTGACAAGCATGTCGCTCCTTATTTTTTTTTAATGAATTGAACATAATTTTTATATTTAAAAAAGCAGCCATTTGATGAGAATTAAATTGTAATGCACCTTTTGCAAATGGATGATTTCAAAACGCTGTCCTAGGTTCCATGTACACACACAAAGCTGTGATACTATCTTTTATGATACTTTCAAGATTACTACAGAAGTAAACTTTTTTTATCGTTGAGAATTTTTAGAAACAGTATACAATACCATACCAATACAATACCGTTTGAAAGTGGGTTCTCATGAAAAAAATGGTTTAACAGTTGCATCCAATACAATTCAATGTACAAACAATGATAATGAGAATGTGAGGGATTTTGTTTTCCATACAAGTCGTATTCAGTGTGAATAGTTGATTTTCAGAATATGTATGAGTTGATTTAAATGCAATGAAGCTTTCAAGTGGAAATTCAGGATTTCTGCAATTTGATTAAATGCCAAGAATAGAAAGAATGTTATTTTGTAAATTGACTTCAGCAGTTTCTAGTTATGCTTTCATATTATCTCCACGAAATTTCTATCAAGACAAATTAGAACAATATATACACCAAAAAGAATTGACCATTTCATTGACAAAAGTTTTAAAGTTTCGTGGATTACCATATATTTTCCAACAGGTAGTATTCCAATGGGCGTTAATAGTGCATCTCTACTAGCTTTCCATCTCATGTTTTCGATTGAAATTGAATAGTCTTTATAGACGAAATGGCCTGTGTCATATTTAGGACTTGGCACAAATGGGCAGTGTAAAACTATGATGAAAGCTTGTAGTGTCTGTTGTAGGCTTCATGTTCTTGAGTGTAACATACCATATGTCTAGCATTCCCTCAGTCATTTTTGCATTTCAATTGACACGATTTTATTTTTATGATATCACACATACAAGTGTACTCTTAATTAGAAACTACTCTAACTGGGTTATGTTGAAGAAGTACTTAGATATGTACTACATAAAGTATCTACAGTTGCTATTGCAGTTGGATTATTGTTGTTTATTTTTAAATTCATCACATTCACTATGGTATATTTGACATAAAGATTATTTCTGTTCATGTTCGTGACAATTGCTACTGGATATGGCTTTTTATAATTTTATGACCATTTATGCATGCATAGCAGGGGATGCTTACCCTATGATACACCTGATCTTACTCTGATAGGTGTTCATGTAAACATGGCTGTTTTAGATCTTTGTTTGTATGTACATGGACGTTTAATATAACTGATTGCGGTAGA